ACACTCATGGACATTCAAGGTGGAACAAGAACTATTGACAAGAGGTTTATAAAATCATGAGGGGTATAGATAAGGTGAATGGCAGGTATCATTTCTCTAGGGTAGGGGATTTCAAGACTAGGGGCAATAATTTTAAAGTGAGAGGGGAAAGATTTTAAAAAAAAACATGAGGGGCAACTTTTTTTTACACAGAGATTAGTTTGTGTATGGAATGAACTTCCAGAGGAAATGGTGGATGTGGGTGCAGGTACAATGTTTAAAAGACATTTGGATAGTTACATGAATAAGAAATGCTTGGAGGGATATGGGCCAGGCACAGGGAGGTGGGATTAGTTTGGTTTGGGATTATGGTCGGTGTGGACTGGTTGGACTGAAGGGTCAGTTTCCGAGCTGTATGACTCTATGACAATTCATTCAGCATGCAGTGTGACTGTACAAGGTGAAGACATTTCAATTAACTGAACAACATTAGATTGATAGTTTACCTCAGTCATGTTGACAAACAATGGATCTCCCATCATGCTTCTCTTTGCATATGCAAATTTAAAGGCTTCAACTATTCGATGATATGTCAACGCCCTCTGTTCTGGGGAGGAAACGCTATCTGAAGTAAAACTATAACCTGTAAATAAAAAGGAAGCTGAGACAAAACTTGGGAATCAAATGATCTCATTAAAGTCACAATTAAGAACATAACAACATAAGAACTAGGAGCAGGAGTAGGCCGTCTGGCCCTTCGAGCCTGCTCCGCCATTCAATAAGATCATGGCTGATCCTTTCGTGGACTCAGATCCACTTACCCGCATTCTCACCGTATCCCTTAATTCCTTTATTGTTCAAAAAAAATCTACCTTATCTTTAAAAATGTTTACTGAAGTAGCGTCAACTACTTCACTGGGCAAGGAATTCCATAGATTAACAACCCTCTGGGTGAAGAAATTCCTTCTCAGTTCAGTCCTAAATCTGCTCCCTCTAATCTTGAGGCTATGCCCTCTTGTCCTAGCTTCACCTGCCAGTGGAAACATCCTCTCTACTTCTATCTTATTTATTCCCTTCATAATTTTATATGTTTCTATAAGATCCCCCCTCAATCTTCTGAATTCCAATGAATATAATCCCAATCTACTCAGTCTCTCCTCATAAGCCAACCCCCTCAACTCCGGAATCAACCTAGTGAACCTCCTTTGCACCCCCTCCAGTGCCAGTACATTCTTTCTCAAGTAAGGAGACCAAAACTGCACACAGTGCTCCAGGTGTGGCCTCACCAGCACCTTGTACAGCTGCAACATAACCTCTCTGCTTTTAATTTCAATCCCTTTAGCAATGAAGGACAAAATTCCATTTGCCTTCCTAATTACTTGTTGTACCTGCAGACCTACCTTCTGTGATTCATGCACAAGGACACCCAGGTCCCTCTGCATAGCAGCATGCTGCAACTTTTTACCATTCAAGTAATAATCCTTTTTACTATTACTCCTATCAAAATGCATGACTTCACATTTATATACATTGTATTCCATCTGCCAGACCTTTGCCCACTCACTCAATGTATCTATGTTCCTCTGCAAAGTTTCACAGTCCTCTGCACACTTTGCTCTGCCACTCATCTTAGTGTCATCTGCAAACTTTGACACCCTACACGTGGTCCCCAGCTCCAAATCATCTGTATAAATTGTAAATAATTGCGGTCCCAACACTGATCCCTGAGGCACACCACTAGTCACTGACTGCCAGTTAGAATAGCACTCATTTATCCCCACTCTTTGCTTCCTGTTAGTCAACCAATCCTCTATCCATGCTAATACTTTACCCTTAATGCCATGCATCCTTATCTTATGCAGTAGCCTCTTGTGCGGCACCTTGTCAAAGGCCTTTTGGAAGTCTAGGTACACCACATCCACTGGGTCCCCATTGTCCACCTCGCTCGTAATGTCTTCACAGAATTAAAGCTATGGTATTTAAGATAAATTTCATTCTTGAGAGAGTGGTTAGTATCTTGACATTGTTATTGAAAGTGTGGTTGGTATGAATAGCGCAGATGCGTTTAAGGAGAAGTTAGCTAAGTTTATGTGGGTGAAATGAATAGAAGATCCTGAAGATAATTGGAAGAAGGGCCAACAGGGATGCATTGGGCAGAATGGCCTGTTTCTGTGTTGTAAATCCTACATCATAATTTTGTATAAATTGTTGGATCCAACAGATAAACATGAGTATTAATCATTGCTGTAGATAGTTCTAACATCCTGCAAAGAAGTCCCATATATGATTTCAGACCCAGACAGAAGTAATTAATTATCAATTCCTAGTCAGAGGATCAACTTTAGTTCAATGAAAAATATAGGAGAACATGTCAGATAGAGAAGAAGTGCTGACCTGATAAAGCCAAAAGATATGACTCATATGTGATAAATCGTGAAAGCAAAAGATTATAGATAGCGCTAAACAATCGCAAACCTACACATGAACGGTGGTGAAAAATTAATCATTGGCAGCAGAAAACTCCTTGATGTCAAAACCACACGTCATCTTGATGGAATCTTGAGGCAATGAGCAAGACAAATGTGATACATAAAATACCATGCAGCAACTGCGAGAAACACTACATAGGACAGATGGGTAGGAAACTCACCAACAGGATACATGAACATCAACTCGCAGCAAAGTGGCACGACCAACTCTCCCTCGTTTCAATACACTCCGACACAGAAGGACATCAATTTAACTGGGACAAAGTTACAGTACTAGGACAAGCAAGACAAAGACAAGCACAAGAATTCCTGGAGGCCTCGTTTTCAACCATTGATGCAATAAACAAACATGTTGAAATAGACCCTATCTACATACCACTATGGTACAAAACTGGAAACAAGACAGCCCACCATGACAGACCGGACTATATAAATTCAGAGCGGGACAGAACAACAGCGCCTCAGCGGAGGCTACACAGCACTGACAATGTCACCTAGAAGGGAGACGAAATGTTTGCGTGAAAACCAGTCAGCTCGGTGAATCAACCGTCAACTCCAACCACAACCCGAGCGACAGATCTTCGTTAAAACATTAAATATTGAGACAGTGAAGAGGGAATTAGATGATTATTTAGATAGAAATAATGTGCAGGGGTATGGAGAAAAACCATGAGATTGCCACTGGGTAATGGTGCTCTTTTGAAGAGCCAGTGTAAACACAATGGGTCAAATGGCTCCTTCTGCACTCTATCAATTTTATGATTCTAAACTAACCTGGACTGGGGAGAAAAGCAGGAAAGGGATCTTAATTAGGTGGGAAATCAAAAGTCAGATTGCTAATGGTGGGTTAAAGTTTTGGTTTTTAGTTAGAAGGCAGCTCTGGGAAGGATAACCTTCACAACAGTGACAAATGGGCATTTCTGAAGAAGGGTCCTGACCCAAAAGGTCAACTTTTCTGCTCCTCTAATGCTGCCTGGCCTGCTGTGTTCCTCCACCCCAACACTGTGTTATCTATGAAAAACAGAACAACTAGTTTTACATCAATGCTGACAAACTAGTAGAATCAATTATCAATCAATTTAGACAATTTCCTCTTTCAATAATTTGTTTAAGGGTGTTTCAAAAGGTTGAGAACCTATCTGGTCTTCCATGTCAAATACAGTATCAATTTGATCAGGATAGAACCTTGACATAATGTACAGAACTCCAGGAAAATGATGCTCATGTTCCACGAAAAAGCTGATTTCATGAAGCTAATTGACCCATATTATGAAGTATGCAAAGCCATTGTGGACCCAGACAAGCTTATTCCCACTGGGATGTAAATAAGTGCCTCCACAGAAAGAGAATCAGAGTGAAAATCCAAAGATTGATCTATCAGAATTGATGATCAAGAACTATTCCAGTCACATGTGCGTTTGAAAATTTCTTAAAAGGCACACAGTCAGAATGCTTTCCATAAAAGAGGTGGGAACTCAAATTCAGGAATATTGATCTGAAAAAACATGGATGTGAAACAGGAATTCCCTGGATAGGAGGGAGCAACAGACTGGTGGAAATATGCTGAGTAGAATTATTCTGTATGGAACCTTTTGTATTCTTAAGTTGCATCAGCATTTGGATTCAGACAAAATGAAATGCAACCAAATTTCAGTTGAGAAACAGTCAAATCTGAGAAAACATTGAAGGAACTGCATTAGTATGGAGACAAAGTTTAGAGGTGGGCTGGACTATGTCAATGAAATTCAATACACAAAGCTGTAAGATGTTCTGTAAATAGGTGTTGCTAACTTGACTTCTGGATCAGCAAAGAAACCTGGAAGTAATAGACTTGTCACATCTATTAACTATGAAATTGATTGGTTCTGATAATGCAAGTTTTATTGCCATACAGAAGTCAAATACTCTTGTGAAACTATTCAGCAAAACAAAAACTAAACCACAGAAATCAAAAGGTCTCAAATTTAGTCTTTACTCTTAACTGTCTCCAGTATCAAGCCAGCATTGTCTGGAACACAACAGTACTGTGGAATATGCTGAAATTAATGTGATTCTGGATGCATATTATGCCATTGAATCCTGACAGTGTGAAAGCAGGCCATTTGGCCTGTCAAGTGCATAGTGGCCCTCTGAAGACCATCCCACCCAATCCCTGTAACCCTGCATTTCCTATGGCTCATCTACCTAATCTGCACATCTCAGCAATTTAACATGGCCAATCCACCTAGCCCGCACATCTTTGGACTGTGGGAAGAAACTGGAGCACCTGGAGGGAACCCACACAGAAATGGGAGAACATGCAAACTCCACACATACAGTTGCCTGAGGGTAGAATTGAACCTGGGTCACTGGCACTGTGAGGCAGCAGTGCTAACCACTAAGCCACCAGGTCATTATGGCACAGCTGAGAATGAGGTGGCACTAACAGTTGCATTCTGTCAAAGAAAGCAGTTACCAAGTCAAACTGTTGCAGATGGCATTCTCAAATTAAAGACTGCACAGGGGGGGACAGGAGCAGCAGGCAGGGGTGAGGGACGAATGGCCCTCAGAGGTTGGAGCAATGCAGCGAATCATGTGATCGTCCGGTGGAGAAGTTGGCAGCTACCGCGGAGAGATGGGTCCGGTGCCGTCAGAGACCTATCGCTGCAGTTCATCATCCAGCCATTAGTCCTCAGGACTGAAAGCATGGCGACAGGGAGACAGAGAACCTGCTTTGCACTACAAGAAACCCCCTCCCCACCCTTCCTGACCCTTCCACATCCAACTGGCAAGAAGACCTGCTTGGCACCACCAGCTCAGCTGTTCAAACCTCCAGGGCCAATCAGCTCCACTGGTAATCTGCCCCAAAGAAGAAGTGCCCAGACTCCTCGCTGTTGGCTGTATATCGCCCAATCCACACTGGCCCTTAACCATCTCCTCCAGAATCGACCATGGGGCTTATAGATCATAGAATCCCTACAGTGTGCAAGCAGACCCTTCGGCCCAACAAGTCTCACCGACCCTCAGAGCATCCCACCCAGACCCATCCCCCTATTACCCACCTAAATCTACACATTCCTGAACACTACGGGGAAGTTAGCATGGCCACTCCAACTAATCTGCACATCTTTGGACTGTGGGAGGAAACCGGAGCACCTAGAGGAAACCCATGCAGACACGGGGAGAATGTGCAAACTCCACCCAGACAGTCACCTGAGGGTGGAATCGAACCAGGGTTCCTGGTGCTGTGAGGCAGCAGTGCTAACCACTGAGCCAGCGTGCCGCCTTCAAATTGAATTGACTCATTCCCGGAGGCACAGACCCCTGACCAAGATCACCCCAAGGGGTTGCCTGACCATTGTCAATCCCTGGACTGGTTGACTCACTGTATCCAAACCCCCTGACTGATGGGTGCCTCAATGGATTTTGGTGAGGACGACTCCCTGAAACTTTGGAGACCTGGCAGCTCCCTGCTGCAGCGTGCCGTGTGGTATGCTACCATGAAGCTGCTAGCACGTGATGCAGTGTGAGATAAGGCAAGATAAGACACTCTTCTTGATTGAGGACTGCTGAGCGGCAAGGCAAACTGATTCATCTTGTGAGTACACTCATTGGCATGGCAAGGCAAGGCATGGGTGCTACAAGCATGCAGGGACATGCTAAGTGAGTGAGTGCTAAAAGTGCAAGCAAACAGCCCTGAGATGGAGATAACGCAGTGTGGAGCCGGAGGAACACAGCAGGCCAGGCAACAATCAGAGGAGCAGGAAAGTTGACATTTTGGATCGGGACCCTTCTTCAGCTTTCCTGTTCCTCTGATGCTGCCTGGCCTGCTGTGTTCTTCCAGCTCCACACTTTATTATCTCTGACTCCAGCATCTGCAGTTCTTGCCATCTCAGTGATTTATAGCCCTGAGATGGAGCCTGGTGCAATCTGTGAGTTTGGTGTCCCTCCCCCCTACACAGAGACTCCTCGCATTAGAATTTCAATGCTAGATGGCAGTGCACCTTGCAATGCAAGATCGAGTTTCCAGAGCGCACTGCCAGCATATGGGACAGATGCTATGCCAGTCATGAAGGGTTAGCAGATCTTGGACACCTAGGTCTGTGAATGAGGGGTGCATGCAGCTGGTCCATTTGGACCCTGGTTTTTCTGAGGAAGTGCGGGCTGAATTCATCGAGTACCCTCTGGTTTCCGATGACAAATTTTCTCGATGTCAAGTTTGTTTGGTGAATTTGGTAAGATAGAAATGATAATGAGGCGAGTTGTGCCTTCAACAAGGCATTTAACAGGCAATAATTTTCTTTGAATTGGTACTGCTTCATGAGAAATTCACCTTGCTGCTTGTCAACATCGAGATGAGCCTCGCCAGATTTCTTGTCCAATCCTGCCACAAATCTTGCCATAACCTATGTCGCTCAGACCCTGATAAGATTCACCCCAAAGTCTCCAGGAAGGGAAGAAGAAAGATTAAAGTGCATTTAAAGTTAGAAATTAGTAAGAATATGACTATTATTGAGGAAGTATGAAGAGACCACAAGTTACCTTTGAAAAAGAACCAAATGATAAAATTAGGCATCACAAGACAGAAATCCAGGTAAATGATAATGTGTAGTTGACATTTTGCCGGTCTGAGGCACACTTGGAAACATTAAGTACACGACTGGGTGGATTAGAAAGAACAATATGGGAGAGTAAGTATGTGATAACTCCTTTGAGTTGGAAGGAAAAGAGCACCTTGTTTTGTTTGATACCTATAGCGAGTGAAGAAATGTTGAGAGTCTATGCCAAAAAGAACAAGTGTCAAAACTATATAAACTATTCAAAGTTAGGTTGCAATTTATGGGTTACCAGAGATGTCAGACTTTTCAATTAATGTTGATGTCTGGTTTGTCATATTGCATGCTGGGAAATTATGTACATTTACATTTAAATATATAAATTGTAGTTGGAAGTGGGGCAGGAGTGCAGCACATTGAAAGATTTGAGCATATTGTTTGATTGCTCTTTCTGTGTATTCTCTGTTGGACGTGTGAACATAACATAAATGCAATAACAGCAACCTTCAGCTGAACATATCCAAGAGCATTAGGTAAACAATTTTCTGCAGTGGATTCTATAATACCAGCAAACTTTTACTTTCTTCTTGACTTTCACTTTGGATTTACTTTCACTTTAACCTGATAGGATGTATCGTAGTATACTGGAAGACATAGCTACATATTCATTGGTAGTGAATCTTCCAAGGTTCCTTAGATCTGAAAAAGTCCCATAGGATTGGAAAACTGCCAGCTGCCTTTATTTGAAAAGGGGAAGGAGACAAAAATACAAGTAACTATAGCCCAGTTGCATTAATGTTTGCTATTGGGAAAATATTTGAGCCTACTATACTGAATATAGTAGCAGTGCATTTAGAAATACTTCATATGAACAAGTAGAATCGCAAAGGAATAGCATGCCTGACAAATTTACTGGAATTCTTGAAGTGGTAACAAGCAATTTAGACAAAGGGGAAATAGTGGATGTAATAGAACCGTCATGCATAAATCATATAAAACCAGCATACAAGATAAGCAAGTAAAAGGGGAAGCATATGGACCATTTGCTATTATTTCAAAGGGAATGAAATATAACAATAAAAATAAGAAATTCTTGCTAAAACTATAAAAGTCACTCATTAGACTGCAGCTGGAGTACTGTGAACAGGCTTGGTCTCTTTATCTAAGGAAAGATTTACTAGCATACAGGTAGTGTAGAGAACGTTCACTAGAGTTGTTGGTTGGTTTGTTGAGCTGACTGGTTTTCATGCAAACATTTCATCTCCCTTCTGGGTGACATCATCAGTGCTGTGTAGCCTCTATTGACTGCTGTTGTTCTGTCCCGCTCTGAATCTCTATGTTCCAGTCTGTCATGGCGGACAGTCTTGTTTCTGGTTTTCTACCATAGTGGTTTGTAGTTGGGGTCCATCTCACACAAACCAACAGCTACACTTCACCAGTTACTCTCAAAGATGAAAGACCCCATACCCACAATGAGCAAGACAAATGTGATATATAAAATACGCTGCAGCAACTGCGAGAAGCAATGCATAGGACAGACAGGCAGGAAGCTCGCCACCAGAATACATGAACACCAACTCGCGGCAAAAATGGTACGACCAACTCTCCCTCGTTTCAGTACACTCCGACACAGAATTTAACTGGGACAAAGTTACAGCACTAGGACAAGCAAAACAAAGACAAGCACAAGAATTCCTGGAGGCCTCGTTTTCAACCACCGATGCAATTAACAAACATGTTGAAATAGACCCTATCTACATACCACTACGGTACAAAACTGGAAACAAGACAGCCCACCATGACAGACCTGACTATATAAATTCAGAGCAAGATAGAACAACAGCGCTTCAACGGAGGCTAAACAGCACTGACAGTGTCACCTATAAGGGAGACGAAATGTTTGCATGAAAACCAGTCAGCTCGGTGAATCAACCGTCAACTCCAACCACAACCTGAGCAACAGATCTTTGTTAAAACATTGAAGGTTCACTAGGCTGATCCTGTTTATTGAAAGACTGCCTCCTGGGAGAAGGCTGAGTAGGTTGGGCCTGTACTCTTTGGAGTTTAGAAGACTGAGAGGTGACCTTATTGAAACATACAAGATTCTTAGGGGACTTGAAAGGAACAATGCAGAAGGGTTGTTTCCCCTTGTGGGAGAGTCTAGGACCAGAATCTCAGAATAAGGGGTCATCATTTAAAACAGAGCTGAGGAGGAATTTATTCTCTGAGGGTAGTGAATCTGTGGAATTCTTTAATGTAGAGGCTGGGTTGGTGGCTATGTTCAGGGCTGAGATAGATTTGTAATTAGAAAGGAAATCAAGAGTTGTGGGAAATAGGCATGAAACTGGACTTGAGAATGATCAGATCAGCCATGGTCTCATTGAATGGTGGAGTGGACTCAATGGGCTGAATGGCCTATTTCTTTTCCTATGTCTTATGGTCTTATGGATTGTTGAAAGAATTTGGATGATGGGTAGTTTTCTCCTCAAACATTCTATTGTTGTTTCTGACATCACTGACCAAGTGTCACTGCTCTGATATCTCACCCTTTAGGATGTTCAGTATTAATGTGAGCACAAGTCCACTGGAAGGAGCACTGGGCACAAACAATGTGTAATCACCAATTGACATGTTTACCACATCTTCAGATAATTGAGCTCTGTAATCTCTCAGGTCCTCAAGAGTTATAATTCCACCTGGAGAGGAGAAAAAGAAATTTAACATAATAATGCCAAATATATTTCAACCACACAGCAGAGTGGAATTGAGCTCACAAGCCTGGATATTTTGAGCAGCAGCAATAATGAGCTTGAAGATTTCCCTGATTTGACACTACCCTATTGCATGTTCCTTTCAGGGTCTGCCGGTCTTAGCTATTACCAGTGTCACTCAGGGTACTCTGTTGGAGGGAAGTACAATCAGGAGAAGGCAGGTCACTTAACACACTTTACATCATTACTTCTTTAGATCTTCAGCTGCTGTCTGCTGAGTTTAAAGGTCCAATCTTTGAATGTTAGTGAATAGAGGAGTGGATTGGTGCATTAAGTATGTATAGGAGAGTAGGGTGGATGAGCAGATAGGTGGGTGAGTGGTGGTGGATGTGTGGATAGAATAGTCATACAGCACGGAAACAGACCCTCGGTCCAACAAGTCCATGCCAAATATAATCCCAAACTAAACTAATCCTACCAGCCTGCTCCTGGCCCATATCCCTCCAAACATTTCTTATTCATGTACTTATCTAATTTCTTCTAAATGTTATAACTGTGATTACATCCACCACTTCCTTTGGAAGTTCTTTCCACACACGAACCACCCTCTGTGCAAAAAAAATCACCCTTTATGTATTTCTTAAATCACTCTCCTCTCACCTTAAAAATATGCCCTGGAGGGAAAAGACGCCTATTAACCCCATCTGTACCCTTCGTAATTTTATAAACTTCTATAAGGTCGCCTCTCTACCTCCTATGCTCTGGTGAAAAAAATTCTATGTTCTATGCTCTGTCCAGCCTTTCTTTGCAACCCAAACCTTCCATACCTCACAACATTCTGGTAAATCTCTTCTGAACCCTCTCTAGCTTAATAATATCCTCCCTATAACAGTTGAGTTAGAAAGTGGGTGAATGTATAGGTGCGTGACATGTTGAGGGGTAGTTCAGTGAGATGGTAGGTGTTGGCTGAATTGCCTATCAGATCAGAGTGTTGGGTGGACAGGGGCTATTCGAGTCATTAGGAGGTAGTCAGATCTTGTTGGGGATTAGCCTTGTGGTTATGGGATAGTTGGATCAAGTTGGGGGTAGTTGAGAAGTTGTATTGGTCACTGGATCAGGTCTGGTGGCTGGACTAGTTGGGTAATTGGAGTGAGGTTGGTGTAGGGATTAGCCAAGTCATCAGGAGATTATTCTGCAGGTTTACAGTTAGATTGTGTGGGATAATTGAGTTGGGTAAGGGGCTGGTCGGGTAACGTGGCTAGTCAGGCAATGTGGATAGTCAGGTGGTGGTGGAGACTCAAGGACATGATGGGAGTGGTTTCCAGTGTGGAGTTATCCAAGTAGACAAAAGGTTTTAATCTATCCAACATCTTCCAGGTAACTAATCAGTAAATACTGTGGAAATGGTCCAATTGTCCAGCTCTAATACAGAATTGAAAGTATTCACAGAGGGGTCGGTGCATTTGGAACACATAGATCAGAGATTTGAGTTTCCAAGGTAATTCACACTTAGTTTCTGGTTTCAGGACTTCATAGGGTTCCAACTCGCATCTTCAGATGTACATCTGGTCTCCAACCAAAAGATTTGGCCAATCGCTATAACAGCAGCAAATTCCCATTCCCAATGCAGCGTTTTAATCAAGCCATTCAGGAATATGTCAAATATGAAATGATGTGCAATTGGAGTGAAATTTGGTGGTGATAGTGTTCCTTTTCATTTGTTGCTGGTGTCTTTCTAGGTGGTAGAAATCCTCTGGTGGCAACTAGTCAGATTTCTCACTCAAAACCTCAAACTTTAGTTTCCAGCTGAGAATTATTAAGAGATAACATGTCTCAATTCAAACCAATGGTACTCATCAAAATTAGAGAAAAATTCAAGATGAGAAAAGGCCACTTAGCCCATGATTCCAATTGCTCTAGCATCACAAATTATTTGCCTTAATATCAAACCACATTTTGAACATCTCTAACGCTTTTATCACAAAGATATTTGGCAGGTTTTTCCAACGTTGTTTTCTTTCCAAATGATGAGCTTTTTCCAAATATGTTTTGATTATTTACCACTGGTTTTGGCTTGGACTCCCTTCATGTATGTTCCAAATTACCATGAAACAGTAGTCTGTTTATATTGTCCATACTATTTCATATCTTAATTAGGACATCTCCAGATTATAGAATTTGATATATCGTGGTTTTCCTCATACGTAGCCTCTTAATAACAAGGATTAGTTATCATTGTTGTTTCTGTGCAAAGATAAATTAGGCTAATTCTGTGATGTACCTAATAATTGAACAGTACAGATTGTGGCAATAGCAGAAATACTGGATTATTGTACCAGGACTCCTGTTAATGGAAAGGGTGTATTCCAGAAGAAATGCTAATACTAATTTTAAATGTGCTGAGCAACTGCAAGTTGAATATCTTGCTGTTGGACAGCACAGAATGTTATGCGAAGAGGTGTAGCATAATCAGTTGTGAGAGTTGTGGGATATTAAACTGTTATTCTGATCTCATGGCCTGGCATCATCCTCACTCTGCCATTACTATCAAGCCAGGGAATCAATCCTGGTTCACTGCAAAGTGCAGGAGGGTATGCCAGAAGCAGCATTAGGCAAACCAAAAATGAGGTGCCATCCTGTTGAAACTACAGGGTCCCTCAACAGTAGGTGTAGCGCAGGATGGAGAACAAGCCTAGAAATTATCAGAGCATGTTAAAAAGATAGGAAATGAATCATGGAGACTTTAATCTTCACTTTGATTGGGAAAATCAAACTGGCCGAGGGACCCATGAGGAAAAATTCATAGTGTATATTTGGGGCAGTTTCCTAGATCAATATGTTGTGGATCCAAACAGGGATCAGATTATTTTAGATCAGGTCATGTGTAGTGAGGCAAGTTTAATAAATGATCACAGAGTAAAAGATTGCCTAGGAAAAAGTGACCATAGCATGTATAGGATTCAGTTTGACAGCGAGAAATACAGGTTGGAAACAACCGTGCTGAACTTAAATGAAAGGTAGTTACAAAAGAATGATGACAGAGTTAGCTGGAGTGGACCAGGAAAGGAGTTTAGTAGGTGAGACGTTTGAGGAACAACGTCAGATGTTTAAGAAAATAGTTCATAATTCACAACAAAGATATATTCCAGTGAGGGAGAAGAATTCTAGGAAAAGGATGAAATTGATCATGGTTGACCAATCAAGTTAAAGACAGTATCAAATTGAAAGAAAAATTATCCAATGTGACGAGGATTAGTTGGCAAATCAGAAGATTGGGAAAGTTTGATAAACCAACAAGAAACAACCTTGAAAATAATAAAGGGGCAGAAAATAAAATGAGGGTAAACTAGCAAATGCACAAAAATGTACAGTAAGCATTTCCTTAAATATATAAGGAACAGAAATGTCAAAGTGAAATATAGGTCCCTTAGAGAATGAGACTGGAGAAATAATAATGGGAATCAGGAAATAACGGAGGGGTTGAATAGTTTTTTTTGCATCAGTCTTCATGAATGAAGACACTAATAGCATTCTAAACATAATATCATTCAAAACAATATCTATCACTAGAAAATTAGGAAGGAAACTAATGGGGCTAAAGATCAGTAACTCCGCAAGGCCTAATAGAACGAATCTATCAGGTCTTGGGATACTACAGGAAGTAGTTACGAAGATAGTTTATGCATTGGGAGTAATCTTCAGATGGGCTGAATAGCCTCTAGCTGCACTGTAGGGATTCTATGATTCTAAGGCCAGAGAATTGGCTGACTAATAGATGACAGAGAGTAAGGATGAAAGGAACATTTTCAGCACACAAACTGTAATTACTGGATAATTGCTTATTCACAATATAATACCTTGGCTGAGGGAATTAAAGTTTGCTATCAAGTGTGTAGATGACACAAAAATAGGCGGGAAGGCAAATAGTGAATCCACAGAGTGATTTAGACAGGTTAGGGGAGGGGACAAAAATTTGGCAGATGGAATATAATGTGGGTGAATGTACTTTGGCAGAAAGAATATGATGTAAATGGTGGAAATACCATGTTTATATAAAACTTAAACGCTGCATTTGTAGGGAGCATCCATCTATCACTGAGAAGTAGTGTGGCCGAACTATACTGAATGGCTGCCAAAGCCAAACTGTGTAGCTTAACATTTCACTTTTCAGTGGGTGTTGTTCCTCCCAGAGGATGGCTGCACATGTTGTTTGTGTGTGTATCGAGAGTATCACCCTCCTCAGGGTTATCTACATGGAAAACAGGACCAGTCAGAAGTCTTAACAGATTGAAATAATGCACAGGAATTTCATGTAAAGTGCTGTATTTACTTCAAGCGTTGAGCTGTACAGAAAGTTAACACCTCTGCACTCAGAATGACTTAAATGCACTTTTTTATTCATTGGATGTCGGCAGAGGTGGATAGGCCAGCATTTGTTGCCCATCCCAACTTGCCCAGAGGACAGTTAAGAGTCAGCAACATTGCTATGGGTCTGGAGTCACAAGTAGGCCAGACCAGGTTAAAATGGCAGATTTCCTTCCTTAAAAGGACATTAGTGGGCCAGATGGGTTTTTCTGATAATTAATAATGGTCATCACTGCACACTTAATTCCAGATTTTTATTGAATTAAAATTCTACCATCTGCTGTGGTAGGATTTGGAGCAGGGTCCCAGGAACACTCTACTGCTGTGCCTTAGTGCCATCTCGACAGCCCATGATGAGTTCAGGGCAGCCTGCTGACTGCTTCACCATCATGCAACAGATGACTTTAGTAGCCTTCCTCTGGTAGCCCAGGGCTCCAGCCTGATCTGAGGCCCATGAGTCCCTAGCAGAGGGGAGGTGGTGTACCTGCCCACCACATGAGTAAAATCCCTAGGTGCCTGTATGCTGCTCCTCCTCCCTCTAAATGGCACCTCACTAACCCTTGAGTGGATGATGCACCTGGAGGAAGATCAAGGCCTCCCAGACCCTCCTGTCTATCCAGTGGTAGAATGCACCAATGACTAAAGTGATGGAGTGAAGGTTGCTGCACCTATCTAGCAGGTACTGAGTGTTCTACTGGAACTGGCTGTTCACAGCAACCGCAACCTGCTCCATGGAGACAGTGATGTGCTTCCATTCTGGAACCAAGACATCCACTAACCTCCAGATTCAACGTATCATTCTCCGCCACTTCCACTACCTGCAATCCGACCCCACAACCAAAGATATATTTCCCTCCCCAACCCTATCTGCCATCCGTAGGGACCGCTCTCTCCGTGACTCCCTCGTCCGCTCCACACTTTCCACTAGTCCCACCACCCCCGGCACCTTTCCCTACAACCGCAGGAAGTGCTACACCTGCCCCTACACCTCCCCCCTCACCTCCATCCCAGGCACCAAGAAGACCTTCCACATCAAACAGATGTTCACCTGCACATCCGCTAATGTGGTCTATTGTATCCGCTGTTCCCGATGTGGCTTCCTCTACATTGGTGAGAGCAAGCAGAGGCTCAGAGAGTGTTTTGTAGAGCACCTGCGCTCAGTTCGCGACAAACACAACACCTTCCAGTCGCGAACCACATTAAAGAGCCTGAGTACAAGTGAAGTTAATGGGGATCAGATAACCCTTCACTAGAATCCTAGAATCCCTACAGTGTGGAAACAGGCCCTTCAGCCCAACAAGTCCACACCAACCCTTGGAGCATCTGACCCAGACCCATCCCCCTATAACCCACCTAATCTACACACCCCTGAACACTACGGGCAACTTAGCATGGCCAGTCCACCTAACCTGCATATCTTTGGACTATGGGAGGAAACCGGAGCATCCAGAGGAAACCCACACAGGCACGGGGAGATTGTGCAAATTCCACACAGACAGTCGCCTGAGGGTGGAATCAAACCCAGGTCTCTGGCGCTGTGAGGCAGCAGTGATAACCACTGAGCCACCGTGCCGCCCTTCACTAATTGGACCTATTCCAAAAAGAAAAAGTGTTTATCGTCATTGGAAGCCAATCATCCCAACGTCCACACTAAAATCCATCCATCAAGAGTGGCATGGAATACTTGCCTCAATGAGTACAGCTCTAACAACACTCAAGAAATTCAGCACTATTCAGGACAAAGAAAGCAGCAGGATTAGCACTCCCCTCCACCACTAGCACAACACGCACTGTAAGTACCATCTCCAAGACGCAATACAACAACTCGCCAAGGCTTTATTGACAATTAATGTGAAATCCAAGACTCCACCATGTTTAAGAACAAGAGGAGCAGGCACACAGGAACACCGTTATCTGAAATCTCCCCCTCCTGGTCAAGCACAGTCTTGACTTGGAAATATATCAGCTTGCCTTAATGGCTGCAGTGTCAAAATGCTGGTATACCTTAGCTAATTTTTTTATCCCCTGGCTGCGATGGTATTCATTGACCATCCCTAATTGCCCAGAGGGTGGTTACAAGTCAACCACATTACAGTGGGTCTGGAGTCACATGTAGGCCAAACCAGGTAAGGATGGCAGTTTCCTTCCCTAAAGGGCATTAGTGAACCAGATGGGTTTTTCAACAATCAGCAATAGATTTATGGTCATCATTTGACTCTTAGTTCCAGATATTTATTGACTTCAAATTCCACCATCTGCCATGGCAGGGTTTGAACCCAGATCCCCAGAACATTATCTGGGTCTCTGGATTAACAGGCCAGCAATAATACCACTAGGCCAGCACCTCCTCAATATCACTATTAATATAACAATGGTTATAGTTCAAGAAGCTGGCTGATCAGATTTGGACAATAAATATGCCCTCCCCAATGATGTTCAAATTCAATCAACAAATTTAAAGAGCCTTCCCCACCTGCATTCCTGATATCAGTCACTATCTGTTGGGAGAGAGATCCGTTGTAAAATGCATCAGCTCCTTCATCTGCCAGAATCTGATAAGTTGCAGCTAATCTTGGAAATTTGATAATTTCATTTTCCTGGAGTATTTTGCCATTGGAATTGCAAAATATTTCACTGTTGAGAGACAGACAATTAGCCCTATTATAACTGTGATCTTGATAATGTGCTTGTTTCACATCATAATAAAAAGGAACCAAATACTGCTTCTCTTCCAGACGTGTATGCGGACTAACTGGGGAAAATATTTCCAGCCCCTGAATGACATGAGCAATGATGAGTCCAGTTAGAAAATAGAGCAAGATTGGAAGAATGAGATTGTTGATGTTGAGAAAGAAAAATCAGATTTTCTACCCAAAGTATTAATGATGATGTGAAAATCAAGACAGCCATTTTTTGTGCAATTTGCTATTGCCCCAGGCAGTGCAGAAACTAGACAGTGACAAATCCCCACATTGTTATTAAATCAAATCAGCCTCCCTATCCCTGTATTCACAACACAGTGAAATCAAAATACTCAATGATGCTCAAACACATAACATCACAGGCACAGCGAATTGTATCTTGCTTGGTTTCTGAAGACTCTGATGCAAGCAAATAGCTTCCAGTACACAGAGGAATATTCATTTAATTCTCCATTGAGATTCTATTGTCCAAAATTTCAGTAAGTTGATATTGAGAGAACAACTAGGGAGCAATCAGACCTCACAGGCACAAACTTTGGTTTCTCTTTGTTAGGTTGATAGACATCCTATGAGGCTCCTGTTAATATTCAAAAACAAGATGGCAGATGTTTAAACATAAGACCTCTCTGGACTCGAAATGTCTATAAAGCACTTTTGACAAAAATCAACTTCCAGTCCTAGTCCCATAGATAAATATTAGTTTTTTTGTTTTCCTCTGTTTTTCTTAGAAAGAAGCTTCTGCTCGCAGTCTAACAGTCACCTTCAACTCTAACTCTCAACAGTTCACAGCTCCAAACCAAAAATGACAAAAATAAAAAATAATGAAAGGTCAGTGAGGGTTCTAACCTAAGTCAGAGCAGATAGCTGGTGCTCCAATTCACTCACAATAGCTCCATCTTGACCAACAGTGCCTATCATTCTCTGGACATCCTCCATGGGTACTGACCACTTCCATCACACCTCCTCATCCAAGAAGGTTGGAATTGGACATGTATCAGCTTCACCGCATCATCACGGCACACTTTTGACTCACTTATGATGCAGTTTCCTATATTGCTACCCTTTAGTGCACGTCAACATTTTTCATTGTAATGCTGCTGCGAGGCTGCTTTACATACAATGGCAAGCACCCATCTCATACATTGGAACTGGATGCACCTCAGAGTACTTTGTTCTTTTGTTTTGCTTTGCCTTTTTGCGTTTGCCACCCCATTCAGAACTCCTCTCTTGCCTTCCCTTTTAGTGTATGAGAGTGCATGCACTATAGTAAATAAATTTGGGGAGTTACAGATGCAGATTGCAATGTGGAATTATGATGTTGTGGTAATAACGAGACCTGGCTCAAGGAAGGGCAGACTGGGTGTTAAATATCCCTAGCATATGTTGTTCTGGAAAGATGGAAAAGTATGGAAAGAAGGAGAGACGGCAGGATTAGTTAAGAAGAGTATTGCAGTGCTGGAGAAAGAGGATGTCTCAGAAGATTTAAGGATGGAGTCAATTCAAGAGATAAAAAGAATATAATTACATTGCCCAGTGTAGTTTATAGACCACCAACTAGTGGAAAGGATGTAGAGGACAAATCTGCAAGGAAATTAAAAAGAAATGCCAAAATCACAGCATTCTAATGGAGACTTTAATTATTCAAATACAGACTGGGATACTGGTTAGTGCAAGTGGTAGTGAGGGAAAGTGTTCTTAGATTGTGTTCGGGAAAGTTTCGTACAGCAGTGTATATCTAGTCATGGAGTTGTATAACACGGAAACAGACCCTTCGGTTTTTACCACCAACATCTTATTCCAATCAATCCTGCACAGCACTGTACCTGCCTATTAAATTCAATTCTCTGTAAATTGACTTCTCTTACTTTGGAGTGTTGCATGTCATTCTCCAACACTATTCTAAACCTTATGATGCAATGATCACTGTCTCCTAAAAGTTAATGTGTTATTGATAAATTGGTAAATCTTTTGTTTAAGTTATAAGCCTGATGTCTTGTATCAGTTATTCACAAAGTCTGGCACTGGTTATTCATAAAGTCTGGTTAGAAACATTTGGGTGGATTTTGAACATCATTGAGTATTTTGATTTCACTGTGTTGTGAATACAGGGATAGGGAGGCTGATTTGATTTGGCTTTGTGTCATAACAATGTGGGGAATTGCCACCGACTAATTTCTGTACTGCCTGGGGCAATAGCAAGGGTCCAATTTCGGTCCAACTCATTAATGCCAGCCAGATATCCTAAATTAATCTAGTCCCATTTGCCAGCAATTGGCCCATATCCCTCTAAGCCCTTCCTATTCATATACCCATCCAGATGCCTTTTAAATGTTGTAATTGTACCAGCCTCCACTACTTCTTCTGGCAGCTCATTCCATACATGCACTACCCTCTGCATGAAAATGTTGTCCCTTAGATCCCTTTTATATTTTGCCCTGTCACCTGAAACCTATGCCCCTCTAGTTTTGGACTTCCTTACCCTGGGAAAAAAGTTCTTGACTATTCACTCGATCCATGCCCCTCATGATTTAATAAACCTTGATAAGGTCACTCCTCAGCCCCTGATGCTCCAGAGAAAATAGCCCCAGCCTATTCAGTCTCTTCCTATAGCTCAAACCCTCCAATCCCAGCAACAGCCTTGTAAATCTTTTCCACACCCTTTCAAGTTTAACAACATCGTTCCTATATCAGGGAGAGGAGAATTGAATACAGTATTCCAAAAGTGGCCTAACCAATGTCCTCTACAGCTGCAACATGACATTCCAACTCATATACTCAGTGCATTGACCAATAAAGGCAAGTGTACCAAATGCCTTCTTCACGCTCCTGTCTACCTACAATTCCACCTTCAAGGAACTATGTTCCCACGCTCCAAGGTCCCTTTGCTTGGCAAAACTCCCCAGGATCCTACCATTAAGTGTATAAGTCCTGCCCTGATTTGCCTTACCAAGATGCAACGCCTTACATTTATCTAAATTAAACAAGGAAGGTTGCACTGTGGACCTGGTCCTTGGAAATGATGTGGGCCATGTGGATCAAGTGTTAGTGGAGGAACTTTTAGGAGACAGTGATCATTGCATCATAAAGTTTAGAATTTCTGAAGAAGGGTCCAGACCCGAAACATCAGCTTTCCTGCTCCTCTGATACTGCTTGGCCTGCTGTGTTCTTCCAGCTCTACACCTTGTTATCTCAGATTCTCCAGCATTGACAGTTCCTACTATCTCTGATAAAGTTTAGAATGGTGTTGGAGAATGACATGCAACAATCCGAAGTAAGAAAAATCAATTAACAGAGAATTGAATTTAATAGGCAGGTACAGTGCTGAGCAGGATTCATTGGAATAAGATGTTGGTGGTAAAAACAGTAACTGAATAATGGGCCATCTCCAAAGAGCAGATGGTCTGGCTGTAGATGAGGTATATTCCCTCCAATGGAAAAGGTAGGACAAACAAACAAAGGAGGTAGATATTAACATTAGAAAGAAAAAGTGCAAAGTGCTAGGCAGGAAATATAATTGAAATTCAACAGGAATATCAAAAGGTTTACAGGGAAGGTGAAAAGGTAAATGTGTGAAACAAAGAGGAACTATGAGAAAAGACCAGCAGTTAACATAAAGGGAGATCCCAAAGTCTTCTATAGGCATACAAATATAAGAGAGTGGTTAGAAAAGGGATAGAGACCAAAAAGGGGATTTAAACATGAAGACAGGGGTCAGGCTGAGGTGTTAACTGAATACTTTGCATCTGTTTTTACAAAGGAGAAGAATACTGCCCAGGCCAATGTGACAGAGATGAAAACTTTGAAGGGGTCAAAATTGATAAGGATGAAGCCTTGGATAAATTGTTAGTACTAAACGTTTACAAGAAACTGGGACTGAATGAGCTGCATCCAAGTATTTTGATGAAAGGGAGAGTAGAAATTGAGGGAGTACTGGCCATAATTTTTCAGTCTTCCCTGGACTCTGAGTAGGTTCCAAAAAATTGGAGAATTGCAAACATAACAATCTTGTTCAAGAAAGCTGGCAAGGATAATCCCAGCAATTACAGTTGAGCTAATTTAACTTTGCTGGTGGGGAAACTTCTAGAAGCAATTATTCAGGATAGAATTAGAAGTCACATGGAGATAGGTTGGTTGGGTAGGAGGAGTCAGCAAAGCTTTCTAAAGGGGAAATTATGTTTAACTAATTGGCTGGGTTGTTTTTTTGAAGTGGTAACAGAAAAACCTGATGAGGGTGATGCTGTTGAAATGGAATACATAGATTTTGAGAAGTTTATTACAGTGCCACAACAGCCTTGTGGAAAATTATTAGTCATGGTATAAAAGGGACAGAAGCAATGTGGATGTAAAATTGGCAGAGTGATGGAAAACAGAATAATGGCCAATGGATATTTTGAGGACGGATTTGTAGCGAAGATCACGGGGGTCGGAATTGGGACCCTTGCTTTTCATGATATATACATGAATGATCTGGATGTTGGTGAGCATGGGACAACTGCCAAGTTTTCAGATGACACAACATTGAAAGAATTATAATCGGACAGCATGGAACTCTTAAAGGACATTGACAAGTTGGTGGAGTGGGTACATCGGTGGCAGACGAGGGTCAATGCAGAGAAGTGTGCAGGTGATGTGCTTTGGCAGGAAGAACACTGAAAGACAATATAAAATAGAAAGCACAACTCTGCAGGGGCAGAGGGACATGGGTATGTATGCGAACAGATCATCGAATGTGGTAGAATTCTTGAAAACAGTAGTTAATAAAGCACACAGTATGGGTTATAAAGCACAAGGGCAATGAGGTGATGCTGAACTTGTACAAGACACTTGTTAGACATCAGCTGGAGTATTGTGTATAGTTGTGGGTATCACAGTATAGAAAAGTTGAGAGTGCATTGCAGAGGGTTCAGAAGCAATGTAGAAATGGGCAGGGAGGAGACCAAGAGAAGATATAAGCAGGAGGAATCAAAATTTCAAAAATACTCACCAACTAATGGCAGTGTTTAGTTACTAATCAAGAAGCATTATCAAATTGTTGTAAATATAATTTAAAAATTATTCTAGTCACTACCTTGAATTCTGCATTTTAAAATATAGCCATGACAAGCTGGCGATTGTATATTACAGATAGCCATTAGTAACAAAGTGATCAAATTAACCCTTAGTACTGTAGACACACTGCAAGTTTCAAATAAATCTCTCTCCATATTCTCACCACTTGTCTGTAAAGAGATTGAGAATTAAGTTTTCCCTTCATCAAACAGTGCATTATTTCCCCACTCCCTCTGTTTGTGGGTTCTGACTTTGTAACAGCCTCAACAACACTGTTCTAAAGTTAAACTAGAAGCAGGGTTCATTTCACACACTCTTCGAAGCTGTGAGAGTGAGTACTCAAAGCCATCTGAATCACTTGACAGAATGCACGAGATGTATGGGTGTCCCTGCGACCAAGGTGATCTGGCAGAGGCATGCAAGTCATAAAGGGCCCTGCCCTGGTGATGTGATGAGATTGGTGGTTTGGTGATGCCCACTTGTGTGTAGGAAGGATGTAAGAGACTGTGCCCATGGACCATGCAGGGAAATGGTGGTGACGGTGGAGCCGGACGTAGACCCAGAGAAGTGCCAAGTAGTGCTGCCAGGTAACCATCTTGACTTTCATTTCGGGAACTAGCATCGTCGCATTTTCAAAGGAGGGGAAAATTGGAATCTGCATAGAAATGAGGTGAGATTAGCTATTATGCACAGAGATAAGTTAGTTACCATTCATTTGTAAGAATCAGAGCATACCACTTAAACCTTAAGGGGAATATCAAAATAATTTTTCTCTATGTTGGGAATCTGATCTTTCCATTCTCTCTGTATTTTCCCAACAATCTCACTCTTGCCCACACAACTCAAGGCAGTGAAAAATTCCATGCTTGGTCTGGAATCTGTGCATTGTAAAAAAATCTAATAAAAAGCATTAGATGGGCATTTTTATACATTTTTCATAATTCATTCCAAATAGATGCAGTGCCTAAAGATTGGCTGGTAACTAGTGTTGGAGCGATATGTAAAAAAGCAAATCGTGCATCTTCAGGGAAATATAGACCAAATAACAATGGCAGTAAGAAAAATAATGTCATCCTTACTAAAGGACAAAACAAAAAAATGCTTATTATCAGAAAATACAATAATGAAGTGTCAATATTTCAAAAGGTTTCAAAAGTGAAAATTTTGCAGTCCCAACCTCATTGAATTCTTTGAAAGGGGTTATAGTGAGAGTAGACAAGGGGAATTCAGTAGATACAATTTATGTACATTTCCAAAAGAACTTTGACAAGTTACCGTGTAATAAATTAAAGGAATACGGTGAGAACAGTACTTAGAGAGAATGGTGAGAATGTGGAACCTGCTCTTACTGAGAGTGCTTGAGACAAATTGTCTGAGTGCCTCTATGTGGTGGATCAATCAGAGTATGTTGGAGAATGCAATGTAGGGTTCTGTTGATATTTAAATTAGGAAGGATAGGAGTAGGCTCAACTTAAGTACAGCCACTAGCATGGATTGGTGAGGCTGAATGGCACGTATACTCATTCAGTGTAAGCTGATATAAAATGATCTTCTGAATTACATTCCAAAATATTCATCAGACAGACAATTTCAATGAGCAGCCTGGATTTACAATTACCTCCAACACCCAATATGCAGTTGTCAGCTGACAGTCACATTGTTATATCTTACCACAAAGACTGGTCTTTCTCAATGTCTTCCTTACGTTCCTCTATGGCATCTGCAAGAGCCCAACTAATGGGGAATCCTTCTTTGGCAAGTTTGATGCTTGGCTCAAATAACTGTTTCCATGGTAACCGTCCATGTCTTTGATGTGCTAATTGGTATCCTCGGATTTCACCAGGAACGGCTATGGAAAGTCCTCCTGTCGGTAAGTTCAAAATTAAACAACAAGCATGTTCTTAAAATGACACCATTCCAGTTCAGTGCATTGATTTACCAGTCGTCTGGTCATGTTTATCTCACGGACTAATGATTAGACCGAATGAAGAACTTGGTTATTTTGAATTGTTAAAATACTCCAAATAAACCAGGGTTTTCATCTTGGCATCAACATTTGCTGCTTCAAACAAACAATGGGAACAATGTTCCTTTCAGCTTCTTCCGTTTCCCATTTGTAATGAACTTGTGCAAAATTCTCTGAGCTGTTTAGGACCGCAGAGTGTGGTCA